CAGCAGCAGCAGCAGCAGCAGCAGCAGCCCACAACAAGTGCGACGTCGTCAGGCGCGAGCAGCGCCAGCGTGAGAGCAACCAATGGTAGTTGTGTTGGGGTGTACATACACCCCAACTGCTCCTCAGCAGCAGCAAGAGACGCTTGCAGCAACTGAGGGCACCGAACCCTGCGACAAGAAGCAGCACACGCAACCACATCCAGCAGCTGCTGCAGCAGATGCTTCTGCTACTGCTGCTACTGCTGCTGCTACAACTACTGCTACTGCTGTTGCTGCTGCTGCTGCCTTGAGCGGGCACAACAGCACCGGCAACAAGTATCTCTTTGAAGACTTCGGCAGCAGCTGCTGTACCTCCTGGAGCTGATGTGCTGCTGCTGCTGCTGCTGCTTATGCTGATGCTGCTGCTGCACCGACCTGTACTTGTGTTGGAGATGCAGCAGCTTGCCGAGGCCCTCCCAACTCTTGCCGACTTCTGGCACTCTCCGCAGCAGCTCTTCCCTGCAGCACAAGCAGCAGAAGCAGCAACAGCAGCAGCAGCAGCAGCAGCAAGGCGGCATGAGTAAAGGATGATAGATATTGTTGCTGGTCCTGCACCGGTTGGTTGTGTGTTGCAACCAACAAAATATATATATATATATATACATAAATATATATATATATATGTTAATATCTAGAAGGTAAACAAGATTAAAAAAGCAGCAGAGAGGATGCTTCGCTGCAACACACCGCAGCACATCCAGGTGTATAGACAGCTCAAACCGAGCAGCAGCAGCAGCAGCCAGCAGCAAATCCCTTATATTCAGCGCCTGCATGCAGCACCTCACAATACACCGCATGCAATAAACAGACAGCCACGCCACACAACGCAAGGGTTAAGGGTTTAGGGTTTCTGAGGGGTTAGGGTTTAGGGTTTAGGGTGTACTTCGAGTCCCTTGTTTAGGGTTTAGGGGTGGTTTATTTAGGGTTTACGGTTTAGGGTTTAGGGTGTATGTGGAGTCACCAGTTGTTATTTAGAGTTTAGGGTTTAGGGCTTAGGGGTTACTTAGGGTTTAGGGTTTAGGGGTTAATTAGGGTTTAGGGTTTAGGGTTTAGGGTGTACGTGGAGTCCCTTCTTGAGGGTTTTGTCGTAGAGTTGTAGAAGGTCCTCATGGCGATACTTCAGACGGCTGAGGGCTTCTACACAGCTGCAGCACCAAGGAAGAGACACAGATTGCTGCTGCTGCTGCTGCTGCTACTGCTGCCGCTGCTGCTGCTACAGCTGGTGCTGCTGCTGATGCTGCTGTTGTTACTGGTGCCACTGCTGCTACTGCTGCTGCTACTGCTACTGGTACTGCTCCTGCTGCTGCTACTGCTGCTCTTGTTGCTATTGCTGCTGCTGTAGCTGCAGCTCTTGCTACTATTACTACTACTACTACTACTACTGCTGCTGCTGCTGCTGCTGCTGCTGCTGCTGCTGTTACCTGAGGAGGGTGGTGGGCCCCGCGCTGGATTCAGCGCAGAGGAGCGCTGCTTGGGTTGCAGCGCCATCGATTAGCAGCAGCCAATTGTGGCTGTCTCCTTTTAAATTGTGCTGTTCTTCTTTGTCTTCTGCTGCTGCTGCTGCTCCTGCTGCTGCTGCTCCTCCTCCTTCTGCTGCTCCTGCTGCTGCTGCTGCTGCTGCGCTGCCCGCATGCACAGAAGCCAGGTTGCAGAGAAGAGCAGGCAAATGGTGAAGCTCTAACAAATGCAGCAACTCCAATGTGCGCTGCTGCAGCGGCTGCAGCACCTGCATGCAAACAGCAGCAAAAACGAAACAGCAGCAGCAGCATCAGCAGCAGCAGGAGAGCGAAACAGAAAAACTCAAAACAAACAAAATAAACAAAATAAACAAAACAATTAAAATAAACAAAATGAGACAAAGCAAACAAAATATATACGACAAACAAAAAAACAAACAAACAGACAAGGAGGAGACGGAGACAGAAAGCATGCATAAAGATAAAAATAGCTAAAGATAAAAAAATAAACAAAGACAAGAAAATAATAAAGAAAAGGAGACAGATAAACACAAGAAAACAGAAAAAGATATAAATGAGTTAATCAAATATATCAAGATAACAGACAGACAGAGAGAGAAGACAAAAAAACAGAGACAGACAAAGACAGAAAAACAAACAAAGACAAGAATACCCCTAAAGACAGAAACAAACAAAACAAACAAAACAAACAAAACAAACAAAACAAACAAAACAAACAAAATGAAACAAACAAAATGAAGTAAACAAAACAAACAAAACAAACAAAACAAGCAAAATAAAACAGACAAAACAAACAAAACAAACAAAACAAACAAAATAAAACAAATAGACAAAGTAAGCAAACTAAGCAAATAAAACAAACAAAACAAAACAAAATAAACAAACAAAACAAACAAATAGACAACGTAAGCAAACAAAGCAAACTGAACAAAATAAACAGAACACACAAAACAGACAGACTAAATAAAAGAAATTAAATAAAACAAACAAAATAAAAATAAGCAAAACAAAAAATAAAATAAATAACAAAATAACCAAATAAATAAACAAATAAACAAAATAAATAAACAAATAAATAAAATAAATAAACAAATAAATAAAATAAATAAAATAGGTAAACAAATAAACAAACAAATAAATAAATAAATAAATAAAATAAATTTAAAAAAATAAATAAGTAAATAAATAAGTAAATAGCAAAATAAATAAATAAAAGAACCAACAAATAAATAAATGAATAAACAAACAAAATAAATAAAAAACAAATAAATAAATAAATAAATAAACAAATGACAAAAAAGCCAAATGAACTAACAAAATATATAAATGAATAAATAGACAAATAAATAAATAAATAAATAAATAAATAACAAAAACAGATGAACTAACGAGTGGATATATATATATATATAACTAAATAGAAAAGCAAATAAATAAATAAACAGATAAACAAACAAACAAATAAATTAAATAAATAAACAAATAAATAAACAAATAAACAAACAAATAATAAAAAAGAGATGAACTAACGAGAGGATATATATATAAATAACTAAATAAACAAACAAATAAACAAAT